TCTCCGCAGCGCTGCTGAGATTTTTGGCCTGAAGTCGCTTTTGGGTAATTTACAATTTATGTTTATTTTTACAGTTCACTTGAGACTGGACCCCATCTGTCTCCATAACACCGTGTGGTTATTGTCTAGAAAAGCTATCATGTGGGCTCGTGAGCAAAGTGATGGTTACGGTTTCCCCCAGAAGAGGCATTCATATACAATGCAGATGGATACGATGGATAGTTCCATTCATCACTGTCCACTCGGTCCAAATGAGTTGAGCTCCTTCCCCTGCAGCCTCAGCATGCTCCAAATGTGGGACTGCACCCTGGACTTCTGCCCCTTCATCACGGTCACGTCTGAAATGTGATCCTGTACTGCCGTCCGGTGGCCGCACGGTGACACTACCGTCCCCTAAACTGGATTGTGCAACAGTTTAAGAATGTGGATGCACGAGTTTCAGCTCTGCATCTCCTGTGCTGTGAGAACCATGGGTGCGTAGCCTACCTGTGTGTGTGTGTGTGTGTGTGTGCACACCAATCACAGCGATCTGCGTTAAGTGTATTTGCTCAAGTGAATCTGGGACAAAGCCATTGTGTATACAATAACAATAACGATTCAAATGATTTCACAGTACGCCTCCATGGTGACTTCATATGCTTGTGTTTTGGCTTTATTTTGTTTCATGCATCATGCGATATATGTCAGTCAATAGCTCCACTTGATGTAAGATGCTCTGCATGTGTTGATCTGACTTAAGTAGGTCTCCTGGAGTGTAGTTGACTCTGACCTTGAAAAGAGAATGTGTTTATAATCATAAATAAAGTGTAGCCTTATTCTTCCCGAGTAGCTGCAGATCAGTGACAGGCTTCAGTATTTATGAAGCTTGTATCTGTGTAAACAAAAGAGTGCAATGAATGGCCAGAAACAAATGAACTGATGTATGGATAACTGAATGGGTGCAGGCCCAGGGGCCCAAAGTGTAAGCCCTCCTCCTCCCCAGCCTTCAGCTACAACATGTTACTCAATGAGCCATGTAACAACCAGGAAGAGACTCAAAAGGACTACAGAGAATCCTATAACCCAGGAGACACATGTCTGAGCCCAGGGGCCCATTGTCACAAGATCCGCCCATGAATGTGCTGAGTGGAAACGGCTCAACAGTTCCCCCCTGTGGGTGGATGACTTCCTAAACTTCGGGCTCCCCAGTAAGAGGCAAAGGAGAGAGGTCTGAATTTCTGAGAGAGCAGTCCCCCAAATGAAGCTCCAGGAGTCCATGTAAATATGATACATAAATTGCAGGTGAACGACTGGTTTGTAGTGTCAAGCCAGGTGTGGGCTGTATGTGGTGAAAATACTGCACGGTCACACTATAGAGGAGGAAGTACAGAGACTGAGAGCAGACCACCGAATTTGTCTCTTCCTCTTATGTTCTTACTATGCAGTACTTTACTTGCATGACTTTTTTAAATGCAGGATTTTGAATGCACTATAGTTCTCTTCAGATTGCAGTTCAATAATAGTAATGATGATAATAACAACACTAACAATAATAATGAGCTAAAACTTGAGGTTTTATAGTGAGATTATTTGAGCTCACTAAATGACATTTTCTCACACCCAACTGTTTCAATGTTGCATGCACACATTATACTGACTTCCTCTCCAGAGGTCTGTGTCCATCTGACATGAAGTGGAAACACCCAAATATCACAAACAGCTCAAGTCCACTTGTGCAGATGTGCACAACTAGTTTGCGTACGCATTTTCCTCTTTTACCAGGTGACACATTTGTATTTTTTAGTTTTTTCGTGCAATACTGACTGCAAGTGTATGTGTGTCTTTTGTGAAGTGTGTGTTCAAGTTACCGTGTGTGTACGAGTGTGTGTTGTCCTGTCTGTGCTTACTCAACTGTAAGTTTCATGCTCACTGAATAATTCAGGTTTCTTGTTGCCATGGTTGTCTGAAACAACACACACACACACACACACACACACACCAATATGAGCATGTTGACAGATGTGAACACCCCCATACATGCTAAAAAGGAGAGAGAGAGAGAGGAGACATTATGAATTAGCTCCCTCTCTTTACCTCCCCCTACACCTCACACTCCTATTATTATTAAAACTCGTCCTATCAACCAGCCTAGCCGGGTGTGGGGTTCCCTGCTGTGACAACACAATGGACAGACTGTGAAAGACTGGGACTGGTTTCCTGTTAATGGAACACTTCCAGTAGTTTTTTTTTTCTTTTTCAAATCTCTGTTGAAGCTTTAGGATGAAACGTAAAAGTTCCAAAACTGAACCCAAACTAGAAAATCCAGCTGCTCCTGCTGCAGCAGAGCGTGTAACATTAGAAGAGAAAAACATTGAGCAAACATGGAATATATACAATCATATTTTGTGTACACTGTAATCTTATCTTTTCATAAACTGTGAAATGTAGGTGTGAAATTTTGTCTGTATACATTTCACACTCAAGAGGAGACAAGTGTTGTGAACTAACCAGGATCAAATACTGCGTGTTTGTCCACGTCAGGCCCCTAAATTCAAATACTGTTTAAGGACAATGCACTGCAAGCCTAGTATAGTAGGTCTTCTTTAGTGGATAATGGTTTGCCTTCAACGGTGAACATTAAAAAATGTCTGTCTTTGATGTTGATGTGATCATAGCAGTATAGAGCATATTCCTCTCGTGCCAAGTGAGTCAAACTATTTTAAAATTAGGACAGTGCGCCTTTTCTTTTTTTTTTCCCAGTAGCGCTACGTCGGGTGCGCTTGGGTCCAGTCAGAGAGCGCGCACGCACCTCTCGTGGGGGGAGAGAGAGAGAGAGAGAGAGAGAGAGAGAGAGAGAGAGAGAGAGAGAGAGCGAGAGAGAGAGAGAGAGAGAGAGAGAGAGAGAGAGAGAGAGAGAGAGAG